CCGTTTTACGAAACAAACTTTTTGCATCCATTCTTATAAAAGAGATAAAAGAGAGAAACAAAAAAGAAAAGAAAAAAAAAAGAGAAAGAAAGAAAGAAAAAAAATAGAAAAAGAAAGAAGATATAGCCATACTAACGTAGAAATAGTATACGTATTTATATATCAAGTCGAAGTAAATACATGAGTAAGTAAGTAAGTAAGTAAGTGAGTATCGTTTCGTGGCACGATCGAGAAAATACTTGGGGAAGCATCGAATATGTGTTGTTGTTCACGGCAAAACGGGGTATATGTCAGGTATAATCTGATGTAACGATGAAAAATTCTTACTTTCTGTCTCTCTCTTTTCTTTCTCTTACCATTTTCAAGAGAGAGGGAGAGAGAGAGAGAGAGAGAGAGAGAACGAACTTTCGCACAAGTATATCTCATACACCGTAAACCTTAGATAGAAGTTAGCGTTCACGGGGTTCGTCTAGTTCGTGACCACCGTATCGTTCCGGGGATTTAATTCACGTCTCTCCGGCCTTGCCAGATTCGCGTTTGATCTCGTCTCGCAAGAGGCACCGTTTCTAGGTTTCATTCTCACCGAGAAGAAAGAGAAAGAGAATGAAGATCGTAAGAGAGAGAAAGAGAGAGAGAAAGAAATACATAGAGAGAAAAAGAGAGAAAGAAAGAGAGAGAGAGAGAGTGAGTGAGTGAGTGAGTCGAGGAGGAGGCATTATCTCGTAGAGCCCACCCGTTAAGAAACGAATATGCGCTCGACCGCGGTCCGATTTGCATCTGGCGCTTGTTAGCCGAGTGTAGTAGTCGAGAATGATTTTCTTAGAGCCATGAAAAATCGATCTAATCTTCGTTGGGTACCTTCCTCGCGTTTGTCGGATCACCATCTGCCAGGCTATGTTACGACACCCTCTTCTCTCTCTCTCTCTCTCTCTCTCTCTCTCTCTCATCTTTTTCTCTTTCTTTGTCTTTCTCATAAACACTTTTAAACGCGGTTGAAATCCTAAATGAGACAAAACTATCGATAACTATATTTTAATGTAACGCAGATGTGTGTAAAAAAAGAAAAGAAAAAAGAAAAAAGAGAAAAGAAAAAGGAATAGAAAGAAATTTTCCACGAAGACGTCGATCGAAGAGTGAAAAAAAAAAAAAAAAAAAAAGGAGAAAAAAATAAATAAATAAATAAAATAAAAAAAAAAAAAAAGAAGAAAAAGAAAAAGATAGACGAAAGGGAGCGAAAGGGCAAACAGTCAAACTGCATAATTTGATTTGATTTTGATGAAATTAACTTTTTTTTTCTTCTTTTTATATGATATATACGAATCCTCGCGTTCCCACACAAGATGTAAAGGAAAAGAGAGAGAGAGAGAGAGAAGGAGAGAGAGAAAGAGAGAGAGAAAAGGGGAGAGATAGATAGAGAAAGATTATATAACATTCGATTCTACCGTAATCGACGATGTTTCGTCGTTCATTGTAAATGGTTCTTCTTCTTCTTCTTCTTCTTCATCTTCTTCTTCATCTTCTTCTTCATCTTCTTCTTCTCCTTCTTTCTTCGTTCCATAGCAGCCGTTTCTAAATTATCGCTTGGTAGGTACCTTGCTCAAAGGAGTGCGAGCGAGTAAGCTCGCAAATTATTATTTACCGTCATGATTTACGCAAATCACCGAAGATTTCGAGCCACCAGACACGCGTTTCACCTCTAAACTGCGATTACGTGCTCTTATACTCGCGTGGACGCAAACGTTTCGCAAGTTGAAGCCACGATAGGCGGGGGAGTAGGTAATGGGACGACGCTCGATCTTTATTTCCTTTCCTTTTTTCTTTTTTTTCCTCTCTTTTCTCTTCTTTTTTTTTTCTTTTCTTTTCTTTTTTTTTCGATTTAACCAGCGAAAGTAATTTCTGCAGTTTCTTCATTTTCAGAATAGGCATACGTTAGTACACACTTATGCATGTATATATAATCCATCCATTTGGTATTTTCGATAGATCAACGTGTTATATACTATCGACTGAAAATCTTTCTTTAAAATTTAAACGATTAATCGATGATTTTACTTCGTCAATTGTAAAAATGGTAAATTAATTGGAATAGAATATACGCTTGATCTGTCTTCAATTATATATACTAATCACTTATTATAATTTTATAAGGATGACACATTAAAAAAAAAAAAAGAAGAAAAAGAGAAAAACTCGATACCATAGATATCGTCGTTTGTGCGTTATCGTGATATTTTTCGAAGATAAAAGGCAAAAAAGGGAAATAGAAGAAAAAGGAAAAACGAAAAAAAAGAGAGAAAAAAAAGAAAAAGAAAAAAAAGCATAAGATCGATGGTAGAAGTTCGGATAGATAGATTCGACGACTGTTGTCATCGTATCAGGAGATATCACGAGCTCTCGCCCTTTTACCATCGTACGGTAACGGGCGAGGAGAACAACGTGCGAACAGGTCGCGCCGGCGACTCGATGATTACAAATGTAGCGTTGACCCCGGTTGTTTCAGGGTCACGTGAGCGCTCCAAATTATATAGAGCGAGATCTGGGGATAGCCAAGAGCCCGTAGAGGACGTGATGGCCCGATCGTGGCTAGGTCATCAGCCGCATCTCCCAATCGTTCAACCGCACACATTCATCCAACGTATTGAGTATCGATGATCCACCAATCCGATCGCCTCTCATCCAACAAGCCGTTTCTTCCGCTATCGCAATGTTCTTCGACGATAACCGATGAGATACGATCGAGAGTTTCGTCCATGATCATCGCGTGAATCATCGTTTCCTTCATCGACATCAATTTCATCGTTCGCATGTTAAAGTAAATTATTCTTACTTAGGTCGTCTCAAAACGATTTTACACGATTATCGATGCTCTTTATAATCAGATCGTATATACCATATTTATTCGTATCATTATCTATTGAAGAACTAAATCATGAATGGTCATGTTTATTTAATCAAATTAACATTATTTAATGGATTAGAATCAACGAGTGTGGGTGGAAATAAACATAAAGGTATCTCCGTTGCAGCTAGTCTGGAATCCTTGGATCTTTTTAGAGAAGGAAAGAAAGGAGAGAAAAAGACAGAGAAGGAGAAAAAGAGAGAGAGAGAGAGAGAGAGAGAGAGAGAGAGAAAGGACAAACGTGTAAGAAAGGAGAATCCCTCTTGGCCATCTTGAGAATTCCTTCGAGATGGTAGTCGCTCTATATATATATCAGTTGGACGAGGGACATATTTCGAAGGCGTCCTATTTATTTATTTTATCCGACTGGATGTTGTGTCTGTGAGAAAGAAAGAAAGAGAATGAAAGAGAGAGAGAGAGAGAGAGAGAGAGAGAGAAAAGAGGAGATTAAATTCTCCCTACATACTGCGGAGCGTAGGGTTAAGTTATGCATCTCGGTCGGTCCCTCCCCCCACTTCTTCTAAAGGTACTTATCTTCGAGGCATCTTCCCGTGTGTGCCCGCAGCGTACCATCTACCTCCCTTTCTCCGTTTCTCCTTCTTCCTTTCTCTCTCTCTCTTTCCTTCTCTTTCTCTCTCTCTTTTTTCTCAAGGGAGAATGCGTCGCGAGAAGGGGGTCGTATCCACATTCGCATCCGTAAATCAAGGATTAAATAAAATAGCCAACTCGTGTGAGAGTCAAATGAGACCTCTCACCCCTTTTGCCCTAAGCGCAAAAAAGATGGCAACGATCTTTCTTGACTTTTTTAGACACTGATTTGTGTTTGATTGGGCTTCTTCTTCATATTTTTCTCCTTCTTCTTCTTCTTCTTCTTCTTATAACTCTGTTATTATTTTTATTTATTTTCTTTGTTATTGTTGTTGTTGTTGTTGTTGTTGTCGCTGCTGCCTCGATAGCAATAACGCATCGATTTGATATACATACATACATACATACGTAGATATTTAACTAATTGTTAAAGAAATTTCATTCGAATATCCTCTTCGTTCGTGCGAATCTTTATCGGGTTACGGATTATACGGGTATGTGATAAATGAAAATAAGATCGAGGGGTTATGGGAACGCGGCTTCACACGCGGTCGAACGGCCACATTGGATGTAACATCGCCGTCCCGTTGGACTTAACGCTCACGAGTGGCATGTAAGGACCATTGCTAGAGTAGATACGTGTTGCACTTCCCGAAGCACTATGTTGCAAGTACAGAAGAAGAAGAAGAAGAAGAAGAAGAAGAAGAAGAAGAAGAAGAAGAAGAAGAAGAAGAAGAAGAAGAAAAAGAAGAAGAGAGTTAGTTCTCTCTCTCTTTCTCTGGCAGAATCGCTTCCGGCGTGATCCGAACGAGTGCCACTTGTTCACACTCCTGCCGTGCGATCGCGACCCTATCGCCGAACTCTCGTGCTAGACTCACGCTTGGATTTTTATAAAACCCACCCTCTTGGAACCATAACTTCTCTATGAAAACAAAAAGTCCATAATGTTCTAAACGACAAAGTGAAATCACGAAATCGATAGACAAAAAATATTACCGATATCCCATCTAATAATTCACATAATGCATTATCTATAAAATCTATCCACTTACATAATATATAAATATATATATATATAAAACTATCTATTAAAACATATAAATATTTATTACATTTACATAGCAAAATATGTTCCTTCGCGTTATTTGTTAAATATAAAAAAAAAAAGAATAAAAAAAGAAATAAATAAAAGAAGTTAAAGAAATTGGATCAGATTTTAGAACAAATCGTTAATAGTCTTCCTAGATTAGAGTTCACTAATCGCGAATAGAGAGGTTTAACGACGTTATTGTACATCCGTATGCGAGCCATAAAATAAAGTGTTAGAGCAAGAGGGATGTTGAACGTTCGAGAGGGTTAACGTTGGTATATCGAGAAAGAAGAGGAAGAAGAGAAGAAAGAAGAAGAAGAAGAAGAGGAAGAAGAAGAAGAAGAAGAAGAAGAGTAAAGGGAGTGGGAACGGGAATTACGAGGACACCTCGTCGTAAAGATGAAGGCGCCTCTGCTCTCTCAGGTTCAGCTCGCGAGAGCAACTCGCGCGCTCCCTTCGTCCAAAGAGACGGCCTAACCGTCCAATTGACTCCCGTATATACTGTGGAGGAAGAAGCATGATTCAACCGGATCCGACTACCACCTTCGCTACCGAGACGTCGATTCTCTCGTTCCTCGTGACCCGAAACAAACGAACGTACGTACGTACGTACGTAAATACGTACGAAAGTACAAATACAATAAATCTTTATTATTATTTTACACGGATTATGATTTATCGATTGAAAATAATTCTATTCATAATAATATTCAATTGGAAGAAAAGACAAATTTATTATGTACGATATAATATTCAGGTTAAAGAGCATCGTACTATAAGAGATAACATTTTGTATTTAATTAAAATATCAGGAAATAGTAAAGGATAAAAATGTTAATTATTTCGTCATTTATATTATTTACATTATATATATGTATACGAGTAATTTTTGTTAATTAAAAAAATATTAATTATCGATGTATCATGTTATACAATCGTTTCCGCATTTATGGCAATCTGATCTCGGAGGACGTTTTTATTTCTTTTAATAAGTTACGAATTTATTGATATGATATTAAAATAACGGGACCGAACGACACGATCAGATACCATTTGTATTTGATTAAATGTCAGGTAATAGAATGGATAATAATTATAAATTATTTATTCTCCTACTATATTCGTTATTCCTTTATTTATTCATGTGTATATTTCTAGAGGGAAGGGGGAAGGGGGGAAGAAATATTAATTACCAATGTCTTATTGATACGATCCTTTCCGCATGAACGGCAATCACATGGGAACTACTGTGTTATTTGTTTAAATAATTTCTAAAACATTGACGCGTTGTTTCAATAACACTTCCATATGGAAAAATACTATTATCTCGATTGCGTCTCATATTAGATACATTAGTTTCATTGATTAGGTACCGTTAACTGCTGTGTACTAAATGTTGAAAAATATGAAATTTCTACAATTAAAAATTGTTAGGAATTTTCGTTGCTTCACATGGTCTATCTTAAAGAGATGTTGTTGAGATCGAAGACCGCGAGAATGTAAGAACGCAAAGAATTTCGAAAGCGTTCGGTGTATCGAGAGCGCGCAAATCGGTAATAATTTTTGAGATAGCCTTTCGGTTTCTCGCATCTTCTTTAACGCGAACGAATCTCCATTAGCTTTCACACGAGGATCGGGAGAACTCTTATTGCGAGTTTACAGTATATATATATGTGTGTGTGTGTGTGTGTGAGAGAGAGAGAGAGAAAAAGAGAGATTGTAACAACGTAATCGTCTTACTTGGCCCCAAGGATGATTTCGGAATCGGAATGGTCCTAGTAGTATAATACTCCAAGTAGTTATAATTCGATGATATCCATGTAGTATGGAGTATCCTCGAAAGAGAAAGAGAGTGTGTGTGAGAGAAATAGAGAGAGAGAGAGAGAGAGAGAGAGAGATAAAAAAAAATAAAGAAAAAAAGCAAAAGATAGATAGATAGATAGATAGGTAGATAGATAGATAGTGAATTTGGTCGATTACGCTTGAGAATCTTAACTCGTGCGTAGAAACGTATGTACGTAAAATATACTCGAACGAAGAAGTTATACCTCGAGGCTTTCGGTTAGCATCACCACCACCAAATCTACCTTTCCAAGTGTCGAGAAGAGTAAGGTTTAATGGGCACCTAACCCCTCCCTCCCAACCCTCCCCATCCCCCTTCGTTCCTTTCCGCTCCATTCATCCCAACTTCAACGTTGTGGTTCTATCAATCCAAAGAGTTACATCGAATATATATATATATATATATATATATATGTATATATATATATGTATATATATGTATATAAATACATACGCAGTGCGAGAACTCGACGATTTACTCTTCTAAACGCACCTATTCGCGAACCACACGATGCTCCGCAATTGGAGAAAGTCAAACGCAAGATGTTACGCCGTTGTAAGATGCGTATATGTACGAAAGGTTACGATTATGCCGATATATCCTGGAGAAAAGAGAGAGAGAGAGAGAGAGAGAGAGAGAGAGAGAAAGAAAAAGAGTGTGAGAAATATGGAATGAGACAGAGATAAAGGAAAATAGATGGACAGATAGATAGACAGACAGACCAATCTGGACGGACAGTAAGATCGACAGAAATATACATTTAGATGGACGGATAGACATTTGGAAAGAGAGAAAGAGAGAGAGAGAAACTTGTGAAATCATAGGGAAGATTATTTTCTCATAACTAATTTTCAAATTTGAATAATCTTACTTTTCCATCATTTTATCTAGATCATCGATAATCATTGAATCCTTTCCCTCTCTCTCTCTCTCTCTCTCTCTCTTTCTCTCTCTCTTATAATCAAACGATGAACCGTAAACTTGTGCTATCGTTCTCATCATCATTCGAATCATCTTCTTCGTCATCATCGTCGGTACAACTTCGTATTCGTTTTACGAAGGCAGCCTTGCGAAAGTTTTCTCAATCGTGAAAGAAGAAATATGACGATTTCGCGCGGGCCTGATCGAATCGAATCGAATCGGCTCGACTCGACTCGACGCGACGAAGGTTACGTATCCTTCGTGGAATCGTGTTTGTTCATTCGTAAAGACATGAAGATGGAGATGGTGAAGGAAGAGAAAGAGGAGGAGGAGGAGGAAGAGGAGGAGGAGAAGGAGGAGGAGGAGAACGATCGGTATCGCTACACCGCGACGATTTCACTGGCAGAAAAATCGACGTCGTTACGCGCAAATCGCTCGTTAATCGTACCAAACGAGAGCCCCGCTAATTGTACGCGTAATAATGGCAGCTGCCCGGGGCCAGAAGACGCGCCGAATAAAAAGCAAGTAGTTCACCTCGTACCTTTCTCCCCTCCCCTCCCCCCCCACTACTCTCTCTCTCTCTCTCTATCTCAATATTTCTTTATTTTTTTTTTTCTTTTACTATCTTATTTCACATCATTTCGGCTCGTCATCGTGTGATCGTTCCCCACGTTGAAAAAGACGAGTCAAAGTTGGCGACGTTACATTTACGAACCAATTAATTTGATACGTTCTAATAAAATATGAGTCATATATATATATATATATATATATAGAAATTATTGAGATCGTCGATAAAAATTCTGTCGATTCGAATTCATTAATTCTTACATTTTTGCAAACCCAACTTATTTTTCCTTTTGGATTATTGTCGTTCATCGAACTCGTTCTATGTAATATCGATTGTCAGATTAATTTATATTTCTCAATTAATAGAAACAAAAGGAACGAAATCTTTTCTTTTTCTTTTTTCTTTTTTTTTTTTTTTTTTCTTTTTAAGAATATCAATCTCTTCCCCAACCAGGAAATTTTTCATTTCTATTTCTACATACATATATATATATGTATATATATAAGTATATATGATCAGTCGATATGATCTCGATTCGTTCGAACATTATAAGTTTCGGTTGAGTTAATGGAAAAAACGACAAATATATACATATATCTATCTCTGTCTGTCTATCTGTTTCTCTCTCTCTCTCTCTCTCTCTCTCTCTCTCTCTCTACGACTCTCTCGAACGCGTATAGTCTTCTCTTCTTTCTCGAAGGAAAGCTCAGCTTCCGTGAGCTACCGCGCCTAAAGCGTTCCACGAACTCCTCCGCCGATAATTTCCCCTTTTTTATCGGTGAGATCTACGCCATAAAATGTCTCGGATATTCGCTGGTATCGTCGTAAACCTTCGACGGACGACTCGGTCGTGCAGGTGTAGAGCTCTCGGTCGAGCTCTCTTAAGGTCGAAAATAACGTCGAGTGTCTTGCGACATCGGACGATCCTCTTTAAGAGAGAACGAGAAAGAGAGAGAGAGGGAAAAGAGAAGAGAGAAGAAGATTCGCTCGAAAACGAATTCTCTCTCGGCGTTACGAAACGCAAAGCGAGTTATCGAAGCTTCTTCTTCGATGTTCAACGTCTGATCGATGATCCAACGACGTTTCTGGAATATCTTTTCCCTCCCACTATCTTCTCGATCTCTTGTGAATTACGTGCGTGCATATTTATGAGAGAAGAAAAGAGATAGACAGAGAGAAATTAAAAAGAGAAAGAGAGATGGATAGAAAGAGAGATCGGTAAGATTCGCTCTCTTTCCTTGGCCGGTCACTCGTT